AGAACTACAACTACAATCCCATGAAGCATTGCAAAAGATATAATCAGAGTAAAAAATGTATTAATAAATGTATAAATAGTAAAACTATTCATTTAAAGTTGTTTATTGTATGCATTTAAACCATGCATTATACACACACACACACACACACACACACACACACACACAAATATTTAACCACATTGCTCCTATTAAACAAAACTGCTGAATCATCACAAACCTTCTCAGACACAACCTAAACATCAAGCTCAATCTTATTTAACTCTTCTTTTGTCATGTTTTACTCCAAACAATTTTTGTACAGGTGGAAAAACATGATTTTAAATGGTAACTAAAAAATGTGATTAAATATGTAATAAACATTAAATAGATTCTCTGTTCTTAAATACAAGATGAAAATGATATACAGTATAAGGCAAAGAGGACATTAAAGCAGATGCTGACTTACATGGAAAGGATATTACAGGAAAAAAAAGACAAACTTTGAATGTTGACCTTTGCTTGGAAATATAAAACATTTTAAAATAGTTTGAATATCAGACATGCCTTATCAACAAACCAATACAAAGCTTAACATTAATTAACTATATAACATTTTCTGTTTAGTTTAACCTCCCAGTTGTCTAAGCAGTTTAAAGCACTGCTCTGAGAATGATGCTCTGTGCCACTAGAGAGAGCACACTTGTTTTTACAGAGGCATTAAAATCAGCTGACTGCAATGAAAGTGAAAGAAAAGAAAAGAAGCAGCTCCATTGTGAGGCTTTAAACAACGGCCGCTTATTTTGTGGTAAGTTCAGAACATATTCTTTTTGTAACCATGTAGTCATATGCTAAATGACCTGCTATTTGGGTTGGTTTTGTTGACATGGAATTTCAAACCCAAACCGTTACATTCGACTGCTTAACAGCTCTGACCAAAATGGAAGAAACATCAAGAAATAGTGTTTAACAGGACAGCTCATTATTTACTTATTATCATACATTCCAAGTGTTCTGGGGGGCATACAGTTTAGTGAAAACTAAAATTGAAGTAAATAATGACAATGTCATTTTGGTGTGAACTATCCTTTTAAGTAGATTACTTTTGATATTTACTCAAACATAAGGCTAGTTCACACCAAGAATGATACAGGAGCAAAATCACGTGTGAAATCTCTCTATATCAGCATGATAGTGATATAGAGGGATGTCGCTTTATTACAAGTGTGATATTACATTTATACAACAGTTTGACAACACAAGCATGTAAATAAGAAACAACCACAGAGTGTCTTAAAAAACGTTTGTATGCAGAACTACTTCCTTCCGCCATGGATTCAAATCTTAAATTGTCCAAATATAATAATTTCTGTTTTACTCTCATTGAAATTCAGAAAGTTTAAAGACCCTTTACATCAGTCAAGCAGGCCAAGAGGGTATCCAAACCATCTGAATTTCGCTTGAAGGGCAGATAAATTTGTGTTTCATCAGCGTAACAATGGAATGACAGCCCATGTTTTCTAATAATAGAACCGAGTGGCAGCATGTAAAGAGAAAATAGAATTGGGGCCAAGATGGAGCCCTGAGGAACCCCACACGATAAAACAGCATTACTAGAGGTATATTCTCCAATCTTAACTGAGAAGCTTCTGTTGGTAAAATAAGATTTAAACCACTCCAGTGCACTGCCTGTAATGCCTACACAATGTTCAAAATGGGCAATAAGAACAGCATGATCTACTGTATTAAAAGCAGCAGTTAAATCTAAAAGCACAAGGCAAGGCAAGTTTATTCATATAGCACATTTCATACACAATGGTAATTCAAAGTGCTTTACATAAAAGGAAGTAAAATAATCATTTAAAAAATCACAACAATAAAACAGGGAACTTAAAAACTTTTAAAATGATTTAGAAATTGATTTAAAATTAATTTAAAACAGTTAAAAATAGAAAATTATTATACATAAAATACAGTGCAATCAGTTCGGACATTGTACAGTGCTCATTCAATAAATGCACAGCTAAACAGATGAGTTTTGAGTCTGCATTTAAATGTGGCTAATGTTTTAGCACATCTGGGCCCATATTCACAAAACATCTTAAGGCTAAAAGTAGCTCATAACTCGCCGATTTAGGAGAAAATCTTAAAAATAATGGGCGTGTCAGTCCTAAATTTAGGACTCCTAAATTTTTGTTCTAAGAGTATTTCACAAAGCGTTTTAACGCTAAAATTAGCTCCTAAATCTGTGAAACGTTAGGAGTAGTGAAGAGGACTCCTAAGTCACTAAGACCAAATCTGAACTATCCTAAAATGGCTGTTGCCAGCAATCTACCTCAGAATAGAAACATTTGAGAAACATTTGATGATAATGAGCTTTTAAAAAGGTATTGGCTTTGGTTTGGAGGTTATCCCAACTCCAAATTTTTTATTATATCCTTAATATATAGGTGTTCTCGCATCCAGTTTGGTTTTCTTTTATGTTTGCTTGTCTTACTATCAGCCATGATTATTCTACTCTGCTAATTAAAAAGGCTGTTTATATGCATATTACCAAAATATTATTAGTTGCAGAAAAAAAAATTCCACATGAAGTGGCGAAATCACACAGTCCGTGACGGACAGATCGTTAACGGCTGGTCTATATGGTAATATAGTACATTGGGCAGGACATCCATCTGCTCTCCTAACATTCATCGACCTCAAATATGGCTTATCATCTGAAAAATGTACGTAGTAACAACTTTACATGACAGCTCAATCTAATGTTAGCCTAGAAAAAAGTGCGCTGTTCACGTGTTTGTGCGGAGTGTGGAAGCTGAATAGTAGCTACTTGGGCTACTGCAGGACAGATGGAGGCGCCGGTGCGATCATTTGCTCTGAAAATACTTCTTAATTTTTGGTCATACAGATAAGAGTAATGCATCTTTTGTATCTGTAAAGACTCTACATTTATTTGTGTGCACTCAGAATAACAACGAAACGTTGCACTTTTGTAAAATAGTGAAAGCAAACAGGATGAGCTTTCTGTCGTCTCGAACTCTGTGAACTTGAGCATGTCACTTTGAAACTCCGTGTATGCTTGCCTTATTACAGACATGAAAAATATATCTATAGAGAGTGAAACTTAAATTCAAATAGAAAATAAATATTCTCAGATTATGTAATCCGTATGAAACATGCATACAGGCGCATACTGCGGAGATGACGAGTCAGTGTTGCAGACTTCATCTCTTAAACCGAAAACAGAAAGCAGTAGTGTAACAATAGATTATTAAAACGTTACTGCACTGTACTTGCTGTTTTTCCCTAACACATTCATAATTATTATATTTGCTGGTGCGCTGTGGCAAGCCTTTTTTGTGTGCGATTGAGCACTTATTAGACTATGTAGGCAATTAAGGCTCATTATTATGATTTATATGGTTTATTATTAAAAGTGCGACTAAACTGTGAGCGGGCACCGCTGCCTCGGGGGAACCGTGAGCGGGCACCGCCGCCTGTCATTATTATCCCGCTACACCTATTATCCAGGTATCCCGCCGCCTCGGAGGGATCATCAGTGGGCCCCGACGCCTCGGAAGCCTTGCGACCCTCCACATGGGGGAACGGTGCCCGGGCACCGCCGCCTCGGGGAAACCGTGAGCGGGCGCCGCCGCCTCGGGGGAACCGTGAGCGGGCGCTGCCGCCTCGGGGGAACGTGCCAAGAACTCCACAAACCCCTCAAAGGACACATGAGCGGATCCTAACATGCGCCAGTGACTAATGGGCTCATCAAGGGCATAATTGAATAAGTCCTTTAGCGCGGAGTCATTGTAGCCCAGCCCCTCTGCAGCATTCCTAAATTCCCTGGCGAACTCCCTCAGACCAGTCCCCCCGTTGACGGAGGGAGCTCAAGGTATCCAGCTGGAGCATGCGCTGGTAGAGGGGGCTGGAGAGTGTGGAGACCGGTAGACGGAGTGAGCCATTTCTCCGCTGAGTCCTCATGTTGGCTGATCCGTTCTGTCACGGTGCGTGTGGAGAGATGAAGCGAGGACTCAAGTGCAGGATGAATGGTTCTTTCTTTTAATAATAAAATGAAACAAAAACAAACTAAAACAACCCCGAGGGGGAAAAACAGACAGGCAGGCTAGGAACTGCACTACATGCAGACATAACACACACAATGAAAAAC